CCATCCCCCATGGGAGGATGGGCGTTGGATGATCCCCAGTGACCCCCGTTGGGCAGAGCCCTGGTGATCCGTGGTCCTGGTGATCCGTGTTGGGAAGACACCTGGCTGGGAGGCTCCACATCTTCCTGGCTCCCTGTGGGCACCGGGATGAACACCAGGACAGGAACAGCATTGGGACACAGATCAACAATGGGAATTCCTTTGGGAGAGTGGATTTGTTAACTTTCAGTCCTAGTGAACCTTTTCCTGCTGCCTCAGGAGCTCTGTGGGCAGAGAAAAGGGGGTGATACCAGAGTGGGGGTCCCTGGAGGGAGCACCCTGGAGGGAGCACACACGTTCTTGGGGAGGGAGGACATGACCCCTGGGACCCCCCCTCACCTTTTTGCTCAGGCAGAAGCTGAGCCCCAGTGCCAGGAAGACGAAGCCCAACAAAAAGCCCCCGATCCTCATCAGCTGTGAGCGGTGTCTGACAGCATCCCTGGGGGGTCTGCAGAGGTCAGGACCCCCAAAACCTCTCACAGACACCCCAAGCCACTCCAAAGACCCTCCCAGTCTCTCCCAGCCCACCCAGGACCCTCTGAAATCTCCTTTGGAGTCACTAATTTAAAAAAATTAAGAATTTTAGAAAAATTAGAGTTCTTAGCTAGAGATAGGCCTTGCTGGAACTAGTTAATGATTAAGTGAGAAGCGGGATCTGAGATAATGAATCTCAGACTTAGGTAAAAAATTCCTTTTCATTGTATGTTTGTTCAACTGTGCTTATAATGAGAAAAGAGAAACTGATAAACGGGTTCAGGAAGATCACAGACCTTACATCTGGAAACCCATTTTAAAGTCACAAGGGAGAAAATTGGAGTTGTACCAAATGTCATTTGTAATGTCAACCATTGTAAAGGTAGAAAGGTGAGAGTGAGGAAGAGCGGTTTTCCTTCATCTCTTGATGACCCCTCCTCACCAAAATGACCCCCTCCTCAAATTAGAGAGGTCTCATCTGTGTATTGAAAGGGTTAATATCTTGCCCAGGCCTGTGGCTGGTTACTCGCTCTCTGCTGGGGCAGCTGCCTGAGCTGTTCCTGCTGGATGATTTTCCCGTGGCTGCACTGGGATCTCAGCAGCCAGGCCAGCACTCAGAGGCAGCTTCAGCTCCTCCTGCCCGGCAGCTTCTGCTGAAACTCAGCGGCAGGAGAATTTCAGCCGAGCCGGGGGCTGGCCCGGCCCAGCAGCGCAGCTGGAAAGGGCTCGGCGGCCCCCGGGAACGGGACCCAGAGGCTTCCCGGGAGGGGCCAGCGCTGCAGCAGAGCCCGGCCCGGCCCCGCCAGGGCCCAACAGGGGCCGGACCCCCGATACCTGCTCAGGGCCAGAAGAAAAAGAGAAAGAGGTTCCCAGGCTTGGGTTTTTGAAATGTGGTACTCACAGAGGCAGATCTAATTTTGAATGGTAAAAAACGTTGTCAGTTCTCAGAATGAGCCAAATATTCTCACCCTGAAGAATCTCATTAAGAAGAACCTAAAGCACAGTGGATATCCTGCTGCAGTTTGGTGGTTTTTTTCATTCCTACATAGTCTACATAATGTTTGAAATAAGTAGTGTTATAAATGACTTTCAAATTTCCAAACAATCAATCTAATTAATTGATAAAATACTTTAATAAATTTGAAACAAAATAATAAAAGAATACAATTTAGTAAAAGAATACAATTTAGTAAGAAAGCTACAATTTAGTAAATATATTCAGGTACATATTTTTCTATATATATGTGCTGTTGAAGAATGGCTCGCTTCTCGATGCCACAGCTCCTTGGAAGGCCTGCACAACCCTGACTTTGAGCTAGCATAAGTCCTTGGCAAAATATTGTATCAGAGAAATGAAGAAGACTAAGTGTTAATAAGACAATGAAGAATAAGAATTTAGGGTGAGAAATCTGCTAAATGTATCTTAATAAGCTTTACTAAAAGGTATCTTCTAGAGCTTGGGTGTTATGAGCTGGACCAATAGAAATGTAGAAATTAATGTGTGAAAACCAGCAATTATTCAATCATAGTAGAATACAGATGGCATGTTAGCTTTTCAAAATACTATAAAAATGTAGCTAAGATTGTAATAAATTTGGAACAAGCTGCTAACTCACACTGGGTCGTCTCTTGATTCCTGAACCTGTCTCCTACATTTTGTCGCCCAAAACAGGGACCCAGGGATTACAAATAAAGCCTGCACGTTGCCTGAGGACCTTGTCAAGAGGCTCAGTATTTCAGAAATGCAGTAAAAGAATCCAGTGGATTCTGGATTAAGGAGAGAAGGCGATTCGGCACAAAGAGCCTGGAGAGGTTAAGAGGATCTGAGGGCCATCCTCCAAAGTGCCGGTAAGACCGCTGCCTCGGGAAACGGATAGAGAGGCGGCATTATCGCTGCTGGCAGAATTTCTCACTAAGCGAGAGGCCAGTGTGAGCACAAAAAAGCTCCAAGAGCTGTGTAAATGGGCACAAGAGAAGGGATTTATGCAAGATCCCACAGAAATCTTTAACTGAACAGAGTGGCAAAAAATTGGAGATGCCTTATGGGATGCCACTATTGATGGCAGTAAATCTGCTAGAGACCTTGCTACCACTTGGAGAGAAATTATTTGTGCCCTAGATCAATACCAAGCTGAAAAACGTATGGCACTAGCTGCACAAAAAATGTTAGGAGGGGAAGATATAGAAGTGTCAGCAAAATCAAGTTCTCATTTATTCACTGACCCTAGCCCTGCAAAAGGTATTAAAGTGCCTGTCATAACAAGTGCAAAAGAAATTGCCAATCAAGAGACAGGACTGACCTCAGTAACTCCAAATGCACCCCCCTTATCTCCTGTGAACAAACAACGCAACACAGAAACAGGAGGCAAAGACTGTACAATTTCCCAATACCGTACAACTAGTGCTAAAAACTCTGAGGATGAAAGCTCAGCTGACGAAGCTGATGGAACACCCTCTGATATTACAGTTCCAAAACATGAGAGGCCATCAGATAAACTTTTAGAAAAAGTAATTAAGAAAACAAGCAATCTAAATACTCATGGAAGGCAGCCAGTAGGTGACATGATAATCACCACCTCAGGGGGAATGGAAATACGACCAGTCGAATCTCACAGTCACTGGTCTGCAGTAATCAGGGATGCTATTTTAGAAGGACAATGGGAAGCTGCAGCTGCCTGTTCTCCACATGCCTATCCAGTACAGCAAGGAACTCTTGCTAATGGCCAGCCTGGAGCACAATATACACCTTTTGAATGGAAATTAATGCAGCAATTATGAAATACAGTTACTCAATATGGACTACATTCAGAGCCCTCTAAGCAAACGATTAATTATATCTTTGCGTCTAATGTTTTGTCACCTGACGATTGTATGGCCATAGCAAAACTATTACTCACTCCCTCACAGTATGTATTGTGGGAGCGAGAATGGGAATCTGGCTGTAAGAGAATTATAAATACACCACGACAGCCAATTGATCCTCTTCATGGTGCCACTATCGATATGTTAATGGGCAAAGGTATCTATGCCTCAGCGGCACAGCAATTACAATTTCCAGCAGATTTGCATAATGCATCTGCTGAGGAAGCAAAGCAAGCCCTGTGGAGGATTCCAGCTGATAAAAGAGCACAAGCTACACCACTGTCAAACAGGGAATGAATGAGTCTTTTGACTCTTTTATTAACAGACTTGTTGTTTCACTTGATCAGGCAACAGACCTAACTGCTGAAGTACGAGAACAATTAACAAGGACTTTTGCATTTGAGAATGCAAATCCAAAAGCTAAAATGATACTAGCTACTCTCCCACGCACAGCTGACTGGGGAACAATGTTAGAATGCATGTCCAATGCAGTGTATCAACAGCAAGCTGCTTTTATGTCAGAGGCTGTAGCTAGTGCTGTGAAAAAACAAAATGAAACAATGTTAAATGTAATAACCACCCAAAACCAAGCTTTTGCTGCGGCTTTAAAACCTCTTGTAAAAGGAGGACGCTCCTGACTGACAAATGTTTGCTTTCGGTGTGGAAAAACTGGGCATTTAGGAAAGCAATGTAGCGTAGGCAATGTATGGTGTAGTTATTGCCAATCTAATACTCATGCTACCATGGCATGTCGGTGTTCGGGAAACGGGCGAAAGAGCGCGAAAGGCAGTCGCACACGGATCACAGTAACTGCCCCCGAGACCCGGAGTTATGCCCTGCAACCGCAGGAAGCCTGGGAATCGACTTGGAAACAGCAGTAGGAGTTACCCTTGCAGACAATCAGCCACAAAAGATACCTACAACTTTCAAAGGTCCAATTCATTCCTCTAAACACAATGTAGGAGCATTATTGCTAGGACGTTCATCAGCAGGCTTAAAAGGTATCTTAGTGATACCAGGACTCATTGATGCAGACTACACGGGAGTTATTCAAATTGTTGCATATACACTGCATCCACCTTTGTTTATACCTCAAGGCAGTAAAATTGCACAAATAATTCCCTTTCAAAATCTTGTATCTGCAATGATGAAAGGATCCAAACCTATGTGACCCATGAGAGGAGATGCTAGCTTTGGTTCAACAGGACCAGTTACAGAACTAACACTACGAATGCATGATCGTCCTGTTCAAAAAACAACCATCATAAATGGAAAAGAACAGATAAATATACAAGCACTGTTAGATACAGGTGCAGATATTACCATCATTTCTAGTAAAATTTGGCCACGCTGTTGGCCATTGCAAACAACCACAACTGCTGTGGATGGAGTTGGAGGAGTGTCTGCAGCTGCTTCAGTCACACCTAATCTCTAACATTTGTGCTTGAAGGGAAAAAGGCCCGTGCAGTTGCAACAGTAATACCTTTGCCAGAAGGAACATTTGCCCTCATTGGTCGAGAATGTTTAACTCAATGGGGAGTGGTACTAACTACCCCAGACTGGGTTTTCTCACAGCGGTCCCTGCAGTGCAGCCAGCCCCATGACAACTGACCTGGAAAAGTAATGATCCTGTGTGGGTGGAGCAGGGGCCGCTA